AGTATTGAAGCTCTGTTATGTGTTATTTCTTTCTTTTCTCTTGTTGCTTTTAGAAACTGTTTCTTTTCCTTGACCTTTGGGTATTTGAGTATTAAATGTCTTTAATTGGTTTTGTTTGGATTAAATCTGCTTGGCATTCTGTTACTTTCTTGTGACTTAATATTAATGTCTTTCTCTAGATTTAAAAAGTACTAGTTGTTATTTCTTGGAATAAATGTTCTACTCCAGTCTCTTTTTCTACCTTCTCGTTAAGACCAATAACTTTAATTTTTTTAATTTAGCATTACTTTTTAGATCTTGTAGGCATGCTTCCTTCCTTTTTCTTCTTTTTGTCCTTCTCTGACTGTGTACTTTTTTATAGCCTATCTTCAATCTTACTAATTATTTCTTCTGCTTGATCAGTTGTGCTATTGAGAGGCTCTGATGTATTTTTCAGTTTCATTTTATTTTTTTCAGCTTCAGAAATTCTCCTTTTTTATTATTATTTTAATCTCTGTTAAATCTCTCTGAGATAGGATTCTGAATTTCTTCTCTGTTATGCAGTTCATTGAATTTTCTCAAAATAACTGTTTTTATTTGTTTGTCTGAAATATCACATATCTTTGTCATTCCAAAATTCATCACTGGTTTCTTATTTGCTTCCTTTGGTGAAGTCATGTTTTTCTGGATACTTTTGATGCTTGTGGATATTTGTTGATATCTGGGCATTAAATAGTTTAAACAGGCATTCATTTTAATCTTCATTGTCTGGGCTTGTTTGTACCCATGGTTTTTAAGAAGGCCTTTTAGATATTTGGGAATTTAAGTTTGTGAATCGTGTCTTTGGTCACTGCAGCTGTATCTGTTCTAGGGAGCACCCTAAGCCCAGTAACAATGTGACTGCTGCAGACTCATAGAGGTACTTACTGCCTTGGTGGGCTTGGGTTAGATCCAGGAGAATTATCTGGATTACCAGGCAAAGTCTCTCATTTTCTTTCTTCACTTTCCCCCAAACAGAAGGAGTCTCCATCTCCATGATGGGCTGTCTGGTTTTGTTGGAGGGGTGATGCTAGCACTCCTGTGGCCACCACAGCTGGGACTGTGCTAGATCACACCTTAAGCCTGCACAGTAGACACAGGCTTGGGTCTCACCCAAGGCTCATGATGACTACTGCCTGGCTACCACTAATGATTTTTCAAGGTCCACAGGCTCTTTACTCAGCAGTTGGTGCATCCTACCAGGACAGCGTCTTTCTCTTGAGGGCTACAGTTTCTCCTTTGGTTCAGGGGCAGGGTAGGGAGAGGCTGGGGTGTGTGTGGAGGGCGGGTATCAGAAAATGTGATATAGGCGCAAGGGCCTAGAATTGGGGGCTTCAGAAATCTGCTTGATGCTTTACTATGGTTGAGCTGGTACCCATAGGTGACAGGAAAAGTTCTCTTTACTCTTTCCTCTCCTTTCCACAAATGATAGGAGTCTTTTTGAGAGCTGCACTGTCTGTAGTTAAGGGAGGGGTGATGCAAGCTCTCTCTTGGCTGTCACAGCTGTTGTCTCACTGAGTTGTGTGAAACTCAAGTCCAGTGGCTCCAAGACTAACACAGCACCAGGACTTGTCCAAGGACTGTAGTCCCTGTGGTCTGATTGCCTTTCAAATCTACTTATGACTGCATCGCACTTTTGCTCTCTAGTGGGGCCAGCCTGAACTCAGGTCTTTACCAGTGGAGCAGAGGAGTATATTTCTCTGGGTTGTGTTATTCTAAATGCTCCCTCTGTAGGCATTGGCAGAATTCTGCCCTATGTCATGTTCTGCTGTGACAGGGCAGCACTGAGTTTCAATAAAAAGTCCCATACCCACTTCAGTCTCCATCCCCCAAGCACACAGATTCTGTCCCCACACATACTACTGAGAGGTGGGGGAAGGTGGTGTAAGCAATGCCAGACTGTCTTTCCTACCCTCCTCAGGGTCTCTCTTTTTTTGATATGATGTTAAAAACAGATACTGTGGTCCTCACCTGATTTTTGGCTCTTATGAAGGTGCTTCATTGTGTAGATAGTTGTTCAATTTGGTGTTTCTGCAGGGAGAGTGATTGCTGGAGAGTTCTATTTGGTCATCTTGCTTTGCTTTCTCAAAACAAGATTTTTAACCTGCTTTTTTCTATTATTATTATTTACCTCATATCATAGTGAAACAAATCCAATAATCCCATAAACAGTGTTTTTAAATAAACATAGAAATAGGGCCTTAAACCTTGAAATTTACATTTGTTTTATCTGAGTTTCTTCCTCAGGAAATGAGCATCAGACCTCTCACAAAAGATATCAAAGAAGTGAAATTCACCAGATCCCATCTAGACAATGAGCTGCTAGACCCATCCTTCATCATAAATGCTTCCTTGCCCCTCTCTGGTTCCTGTTTTCTTACACATTGTTAGGTTTCTTCTCTGCAATATAAGCCTCTTGTTTGAGTCAATTAGGAAGATGGATTTGAGACGGATCTCACATCTCCTTGGCTGCAGCACCCAATTAATCCCTTCTTCCTTGGCAATAATTGCTGTCTCAGTGATTAGCTTTCTGTGCCATGAGCAGCAGGACCTAGACCAAACCTCAGGTATTTTGGTAACAATAGTTCTTATACATGCTGCGTGACTTGTGCTTACCTAAAATCCCTGATGTCAACAACATTTTCTGCTCCCTAGGGCTAAAATGCTTCCTTCTCTGCAATCATCAAACAGGGCCTATTACCTCCCAGTTAACTTCTACTCATCCTTCAGGTCTTTTTCCTGAGATAATTGCTCCTCCTCTGTGATATTTCATACTCATCCTTATTGTACCACCTTATATACTGCATTTTAATTTTCTATTAACTTTTCTGTCTTTCCCAGTAGAATTTGCATACTTGAAGGGCAGGATCTTCCCTTAATCATGATTGCAATCCACACTGATTAAAGGTTGGCATATAGCAGGTATTAAACACACATACACACACACACACACACACGATTGAATGAATTATCAAATAAATAGGGCAAACCAATTCTACTAAAAAATGTACCTTCTCTATGAATGTTTCTACCCTCTCTATGAATGTTATACTCTAGGTCTTTCAAATCTAATCACTTACATTGACCTCTTTTTTATTAATTTATTGTATTCACATATAAAGACTCAGTCAGTGTTCTGTTCAAAAACATTCTTACTCATTCTTATTACCATGGTCATTATTCCTGCTAGTTGTATCCAGAATATTTGGATCATAGTATCAGTTTTATAGCTCTTTTTTTCCTCCTACTTCAGGCTTTTCCCTTTATTATTAATTCTGATATATTATGCCATTTTTGCATTGCTATAAAGAAATACCTGAGACTGAATAATTAGTAAGAAAAGAGGTTTAATTGGCTCACAGTGCTGCAGGCTGTGAGGCATAATGTCAGTATATGTTTTTTGGGAAGCCTTAGGAAGCTTACCATCACGGCTGAAGGCAAAGGAGAAGCAGGCATATCACACAGAGAAAGCAGTAGTAAGATAGAGAGATTGACATGCTACATAGTTTTAAATAGCCAGATCTCATGACAAGTCACTCACTGTGGTGAAGACTGAACCAAGCAAATGGTACTAAACCATTAATGAGGAATTGACCCCCATAATTTAATCACTTCCCAGTAGGCCTCACTTGTAATACTGGGGATTACAATTTAACATGAGATTTGGGTGGGGACATAGATCCAAACTATATCACTTGTAGAGTTAAGCCAGAGTATAATATCTCTTGGTATACTAAGTTAGAGATAGGATAGCTGAGATTTAAAAGATTAAACTGGGCTTTTTGCAGCCGTGCAAGGCCATGTCATCCTAGTAGAAAAGCCTGATGATGGACCATCCTTACTCTGGATTGGACTTATAATAGGTTACACTTTAGGAGTAACTATGAACCAGTTGAACCCTCTTAGGGTCAGCAGGTCAGCTTCAAACAGTCTCAATCTCTGAAAATAGATTAAGATGATCGTGGATTGAACGTGTTCACAGAAGAACTGTCTGGACTACAACAGCATTCTAGGTTTCCTAGGTCATCCTGAGCTATTGTTTTAGGAGGGGTGACTTTTGATACCCAAAAGAAATGAGTAAGCCAAAAAAATAATCTGGGAGTAGAATATTTTAAATTCTATAATTTAGGTATCAAATGTCTCTAAGTGAAGAAAAAGCATGGGGTCTCTTAGAATCAGAAGGACGGCTAGTGTAGCTGGATCAAAGTTGAGTGCAGAGAGAAATTCAGAGACATAGTCAGGGGTTAGGACATGGAAGACTTTGTAGGACACAGGAGTAACGGATTTTCTTGTAAATGTTAGGGGAATTTGCAGAAAGGGATTTATGAAAGGATGGAAACCGATTTGCCTTGCATTTCATTTTTTTGGTTTTGGTGTTTTTTTTTTTTTTTTTTAAAGAATATTACTATGATCATTATGTGGAGAAGACTATAGAGCAGGGTTCCTCGAGTTAGGCACTACTGACATTTGACCGGGTAAATTTTTGTTGTGTAGATAGGGTTTATGCATTGTATGGTGTTTAACAGTATCTCTAGCTTCTACTTAATTGACAGTAGTAGCACCCCAGTACATTTGACAACCAAAAAAGTCTACAGATTTGTTAAATGTCCTTGGCAAGTAGAGGGTCACAATCACCCCTAGCTGAGATTGAATTGCTATAGAAATCAAGGATGGAAGCAAGAAGATTGATAACAATGCTGTTGCGGTAGTGCCAATACAAGTGTTTGACCTAAGGAAGTAGTAGTGGAAATGATTAAAACTAGTTGAAGTTGATGGATTTGAGATACAGTCTGAAAGTACAGAGGACAAGTCAAGTTGATATCAAATTTGGAGTATGAGAGAAAGAGGAAAGTTCTGTAGTGGAGCTGGGGATCTCAAAATTGTATTATGCTATAGAACACTTTGTCAGTTTGATGAAGTATATTGTTTCTCAGAATATTAGTGAACAAATATAATATATAATATTTAAAAATGGCATTGATACTTGCTTCAGCAGGACATATACTAAAATTGGAATGATAGAGAGAAGATTAACATAGCCCTTGCACAATGATAACATGAAAATTCATGAAGCATTTTATATAAATAGCTTTATTTATTTATTTTTTTGAGACGGAGTCTCGCTCTGTCGCCCAGGCTGGAGTGCAGTAGTGCCATCTTGGCTCACTGCAAGCTCTGCCTCCCGGGTTCACGCCATTTTCCTGCCTCAGCCTCCTGAGTAGCTGGGACTACAGGTGCCTGCCACCATGCCCGGCTAATTTTTTGTATTTTTAGTAGAGATGGGGTTTCACCATGTTAGCCAGGATGGTCTCAATCTCCTAACCTCGTGATCTGCCTGCCTCACCCTCTCAAAGTGCTGGGATTACAGGCGTGAGCCACCATGCCCAGCTTATATAAATAGTTTTTAAAATCAAATATATTGAAATAAAGGTATCAAATATTTTAAATGATAAGATATAGCAGTAAGTATAATAATAACTGTAGTCATTTTAAAGTCATTAATATATAAAATATATTTTTAGGTTTCTACTGTAACAATCACATGTTATATGAACATTTCTCTGATTTCTGTTAGGAATAAAATCACAAGTGCTGCTAATGCAACTGTTGTTTTTTCTCTATAATGGTAGGAAATACTAATTATTAATTAGAGGTAAGTAAAATAAAGATATAACATGTTTTTATTCAAATCCATGGATCTCCCGATTTTTATTCAAGGAAACTGTATTAAGAACCACTGCTCTGGAGTGACTTGTTTATATTAGAATGTTCACTCACATTCTGTGTGAAGTATATAAATTGTTTCTGAAATAGTTTTTACTGAAATCCTCAACCAGGAATAATCAATTAAGCAAGGTTCCCGATTCTATTTAGTATATGTTTTACTATGCTCTTTGATACAACTAAAACATACAAATTGTTTTCAAACTTCATTATTTTTACTCTGCTTCCTACAAAGACTTAAACTTATTTAAGTTTATGAGGGACATGAAACTGTACTGCTTAAATTAAGATCTGAATTGAAATCACTTGTCCGTGAGACACCTACAAAAAATCTTATTAGAAATCTAAATACATTCCTAGTAATTACTATGATCTTTAATGTTATAGAAGTACATTCTATATTATTTTATGCTATAATAAATTTTTTTGTAAATTATATTTCTATTATTTTTCTTATACATACTTTTTTATTCATGAATTTTTCTAAGGCATTGAATTTATAATCCTTCAAGAGAGAAAACATAAATATTTGAGAGAGCTCAGATTTTAATTGTCAAGTGATATTTGGATATGTTATAAATTACTAAAAATTGACCTTTATTGTTCTAAAAAGAATCTAAACGATCTAATTCTTTTTAGATTTTTGAATGATGTACCAGAAATAACTTGATGCTGTGATATACTAAAAATGCAATATGCTTTGTTACTTCATCCTTCAGCAATTCCCCACAATCTGTAGGCAATCTTGAATACTGAATCCCAGGAAATTTTCAGCTTGAGCTACTCAGCCTCATTGTCAAGTGATTGCCAATTAGGAGAAAAATCTTGTAAATGTTGGCCTGAGAAATTAAATGAAACTTCATGAGGAATGTTCCAATTTAGATGCACACTCAACACCTGCTGCTTTTTTGAAATAATTAACATCATTTTGGAGTTTCTATGAGCCTGCTCAATGGGCTACAGGCAGATGTGTGGATCAGATGTCACCTAGCACAGCTGGAGCTGCCAAGTTAGCACACACATTTTTTGTTCCATCTTCTTTCTTTGTCTGCACAGCTGTAATTTTTAGCACATTAGGTTATGGATCAGTTTTCATTTTGGTTGAAGGCTCATCAGATGTAGACAGATCATCATCATTTAATCCTGCGCTGATGTGAATTTTGTTCACATTCTCATAGGACTCTGTATTTACACATCTCCATAATAGGTCTCATGAGAAACAAATGCTTCCCAAATGAGGCAAATCTTTAACAATTTAAGACAATAGATGAAGATCTTTCATGAGTTTGCTGTACACATCTTTCAATTTTATTATTTTGAAATATTTCAAAATAAAATGTTTGGATAAACCATTAAAAGGCTTTAGTAGGCCAAGCATGGTGGCTTATGACTGTAATCCCAGCACTTTGGGAGGCCAAGGCGAATGGAATACCTGAGGTCAGGAGTTTGAGACCAGCCTGGCCAACATGGTGAAACCCCATCTCTACTAAAAATACAAAAATATTGGCTGGACATGGTGGCAGATGCCTGTAATCCTAGCTACTCGGGAGGCTGAGGCTGAACCTGGGAGGTGGAGGTTGCAGTGAGCCGAGATTGTGCCATTGCATTCCAGCCTAGGCAACAAGAACAAAACTCCATCTCAAAAAAAAGAAAAAAAAAAGTAAAGCTTAATTTTATTTTTTATTGCTAAAAGTCCTACCTATTTATACAAAAATTTGGGAGGAAGCATAGAGCCATGTTTAATGGAATGCTCCTTTTACATCTTCCACACTCACATAGTAATTTTATAATTTTTTTCAAAATTGCAAAATACAGTAACTTTATGGTCTACTTAACAATCTTTAATCTTCTCTTATGAGAAACAACATAGGCAAAAGTAGGTAGACACCAAAGGAAAGATATATGTTAAAATATCATTCTTGTACAGGTGAAATGGGCTATCACCCAGAGTTCCCTGGAAAGCTAACTTTTAAATGTTAAGCATTTTCAAAACAATGATTCCAGATATTTGTTAAGTAATTTGGCTACTCCAGCATTTCATCTCATTTTAATTTTTTATTAACTTGCTCATTTCATTTTCAGAAAGCTTAGTCTAGATATTCAGTGAAACAGAACTTCATTAAACTCTCTACAATAGGCAGTAAGACAGTACACCAGTACACCAAGCCAAGGAATCAGAACACCGGAGTTTAATTTTTATGTCTGACATGATCTGTGTGACCCTGACAGAGTCTCTCAAACTATAGGTTTCTAATGGTAAAACAGGGAAGCTAGCAAAAATAATATCTATGTTTTGCCTTATTCTAAAGCAAAAATTAAAGAAAATTAATCTTTCTTTCCTATCATAAACTGACTTCCTCTGAAAATATTTATTCCAGCACATTTTGATTCCTAGTGTTTTTTATTTCAATCTGGATTAAAGATGCTTTCTGTCTGAAGCTGCTCTATTGCAACTATATTATAGGAATATATATTATATGTATGTACTGTGAATATAATTAATAACATAGAGCTATATATTTTCTAAACATTAAATTATAAATCTATGAATATATTTATCATTGATAATCTATTAAATATGATAAATCATATTATAATAAATATAAGTATATTAAATGTTAAATATGATGCTTATGTTCATATTTATATATAATAGATATAATCTGGACATATATTTTATATGTTATAACTATATAATATTTATAGGTTAATATATACAAATATGTATTATGTATTATACATTATATATGTATTTATGAGTGGAAGAATAGATCTTTTGTTTTCATTTAAGGTCATACATTTTGCAATATCTTCCAATAGTAAAATCCTTTCAGTTTTATTAGTATAATGCTCAATATTTCATGACATATTTTGTTAGCATTACATAAAATATGCAAATAATCTTTTTCTAGCTTTTTAAATATTAGGTATACTTTTGTCTCAGGTCCTTAGAACTAAAAAATCCTGTCTCAGTGAAGTCATTGAATATTATATTCAAAGAGAATATTTAACTGATAATCTTCTTTACTTATTAGATATTCTTAAAATTATCATTGACCATGTGCAGTGAACATTAAATATATAATATCTTAGAATTGAATCCAAAGCATATGGAGAGGCAATACATTGGATGTTTTGTGGCTTGTGTTCTGGAATTTAATAAAATATTAATAAGACATTTTATCAATATCAATTCATTTTCAATGAATACAGTAATTACAAATTTTGGTATTGAAGAAAACTGAAAAAGTACAATATATTCTAGTCATTTTTCCTTAGAAAAGCTGAATATGTATTTTTATTTTTGTACTTTTTTTTTTGGTAGTCAAAAATTTTACTTGCTTCTCCTGGAAGCAGCACTGGGTTTGAAGTCAGAAACGTAGGAATACTGAAAACACTAATATTCACTTGGAGGCCAATCTTGCTTTGTTCAATTATGTTTGGAATAATTATACAGAACCCCAAATTCAAACTAGGGTACCCGATATGTAGTTGATGCCAGACGGTAACACACAGGTGCTTAGAGTTAGACAAAATTTTATTCTATTTGGTCAAGCTGAGCAGGTGGAAAAACAAGATCTGTCAAATTATCTTTAAAAAAGAAAATGGGGAATTTTTATACAGCTAGAGAATAAAGGAGGGGGAATCTCAGGGAACCGAGGGGAAAGTCTGTTTCTTCAATCTCAGATAACACATTGAACAATCAGACTTCTGGGCATGAGCAGATGGTTGACTTCCGTAAAGACATTCATTCTTTCCGCAAATGTTTTTTTATAACACTGAATTTATATTCTGCTGCTTGACAGAAAAACAGTCCATCAGCAGTTTATTAGTATATTGTGGGAACAAGGGATGTTGGACAAAAAGCGAGTGGTTAACATGTCAAAGTGGGCAAGGGCCTAATCAGAATTTTCATTATGTAAATGACTAATAATTCTGGGGTACTGAAATCTCAAGGGGCCTGGTTACAATAATATACTGTTTAATGTGAAAATATAATTTTCATAGTATGACATTGATAAGGCCTAACACTCAACATGAAGTGTACATAAACGTTTATTCTATGTAGTCATTTATCAGTTTAATTTCCATTATGTAACCAGATTCTTCATGCAATATCATTGCTTAAGTAGAGTTGTTTGGTCCCACGGCCTCCCTCAGATACCAAAATTCGAGGATATTCCTGTTCCTGATATACAATAAGCCAGTATTTGCATATAACTTATGCACATCCTTCTGTGTACTTTAAATCATCTCTAGATTACTTGTAATAACTAATACTATGTAAATCCCGTGTAAATAGTTATCATATTGTATTGTTATGAAATAACGACAAGAAAAAGGTCTATATATGTTCAGTAGA